TAACGAAGCGCCGACAACCAGCCCTTCAATTGAAGGTAAAGGTATGCCAGCACCAATCTACTAAGGGATTTTTCGAAACCTAACATCTATTGCCATCTCACCTCCCCCTTTATGATTGTATCGTATTCAATCTCATTTAATTTTATCTCATTCCTCCAATATCATAAAATCTTACTTATTCTCTTTGCATTTTAGGCAGGTCTGGAACGCTTGCTTTTTTACCTGCATTTAGTTGTTTCCTTCTAACCTTTTTGCTTCCACTCCGACAGGTGATCTTCAAAGGCCACCGATTCACCCAACCATGGATCAGCGCGGTTAATCTGACAGCCTACACACAAGTCGTCGAATTGACGATACAGCGTTGCGGTCTCACTCGTCTTATGGCTGGCTCCTTCGCTAGGCTGACCCGTCTGCGTAAGCTTGATCTTTCGCAGAACCAGCTTGCTCGAATAGCGCCTGCCACCTTCTCGGGGCTTCGGTTGTTACGGCTTCTTCGGCTCGACGAGAATCACGGTTTGGAACTGGCGCCCGGTGCCTTTGTGGGTGCTCAAATCGCCGGACTTAGTCTGGAGGCAACCGGCTTGACGAAATTGAAGTTGACCGATCTCGAGCCGCTGTTGCGAAGTGGTGTTGGAGTCGGCGGCCGATTGGAGTCTCTCAATCTGGCCAACAACGCATTGACAGGCCTCGAGGCGGGACTCGAGCTCGGTCTGTCGAGTCTGCAGCCGGGCAGTTTGGTGTTGGAGGGCAATCCGTGGCGTTGTGATTGCCGTCTCGCTTGGCTGGCTCGACTGTTGGCCCGCCAGGCGAGACAAGCTGCCACGCCCGGTTTGGCCAGTCAACCGGGGCCCGTGTGTCAAGAACCCGTCGAGTTGGCAGGTCGACAAGTCGACAGTCTCCGACTTGACGAGTTGGTCTGCACCCCGCCTCGACTAACCGGCATCGAGGTTGAACTGACTGGTCTCAGTCGAACTGTCGATTTTCCAGAATATGCCTTCAACGAAGTTGACGATGGAGTCGACTTTGATGGTTTGGTCGCCAGACTACGCTGTCTTGCCAGCGGATCGCAAGATCTAAACGTCACATGGTTTCGTCGGGTTGTCAGCCCCGGAAAAACCGGTACCAGCCTTCAACTGGAGCCAGAGTCACGCTCACCAAGTCTGGGCGTGGCAGAGCTGCATCTGCATCAGACGAGCATCACTACGCCCGGCAACCGTTGGCGACGCAACAGGCGTCTGGCACGCAGTTACTCGCATCTGAGTGACCAGTTGGCCGAAATAACGAAAGAGGAGACAAGACGGATGGAGCAGGAGCAGGAGCAGGAGGAGCATGAGGAGGGAACTGGTGTCGTGGCTACCTCGGCATCTCTCGCCAAGCCGGAAATGTTCACATGTCTCGTGATTGACGCCAACGGCAAAACCACCGCTGATGTCAGTCTCATTTGGCCCAAACATTTGCCCGCCTCAAATGTGCACATACCAATCGGTAAGCAACAACACTTCCAGACCGATTCCAACATTCGGAAAGAGGTGGCCGAGAGGATTGACGAGTTGTCGAGCCAGAATGCCCAATACGAGCCTGCAGGTGGAGACAAGAAGACTGATCCGATTTATTCAATCGTCACGGCCGGGGGTAGCGAATTTCTTTACGAAGTAAGTTGTTGCCACGGATGAAGCCTTTTTCACGTATTTTTGTCGAGCCTAATCGGTTGGAGCGGTCATTTGTTGTCTATTTATGAAGGGCTACCGCAAAGGTAGCCGAGGATTGACAGTGGTAAATATGCATTTTGTATAGT